GGGCCGCGCGCTCGGCGGGGAGAGGCCGTGCTGGGGGACGTGACGGTCGTAAAGCGAACCGCGGGCGCTGCTGTTGGGCCGCGCTGGCCCGGGCTTTCGTGGGGCAGAGCCGGGCGCGGGAGGGAGCGGCCCGCGGGGTCGGGGCGTCGGGGGATCGGGGTCCTGGGGGTATCAGGGTCCCGGGGCGTCGGGGTCCCGGGAGGTCGGGGTCCCGGGGCGTCGGGGTCCCGGGGGGTCGGGGTCCCGGGGCGTCGGGGTCCCGGGGGGTCGGGTCTCTCGGCGTCGGGGTCCCGGGGCGTCGGGGTCCTGGGCGGGCCCGCTCCTTTGTTCCTTTCGCGTCTAGCTCTGGCGATTGGAAGCTTTCTGGCACTGCCAGGGTCAGGGGCGAAGACACAAGTAGGTTTGTTTCTTTCGGGACCGCTCGCTGCTCCACACTGGGCCCCCGCCGGCTCTCTGCGGCGGTTCTGCGCCGGGTCTCCCGGCCCGGGTGAGACCCGAGGAGCTCAGCCGGGGGCGTTCGGGCCGCCTGTCTCCCACTTCACAGTGTGGTCCACAGCGGGTACCAGCGATGTCGCTTGCCTACAAGGAGGGAGTGATTTCATCCTCTGCGTGGAGTGGGGCTTAGAGACCTTCAGGCATCTGTGTTGGAAACTTTGCTGAGACTTGGACTTGGGTATTTCCCGGGCAGGTAATGGAGTGAACCAGGCTGGAGCTGGGAGGTGGTATCACTGAGGCAGGCGTTTGGGTAAGGGTAAGAAATTCCATGGCGGAAGGCTGGCAGCATCCCTGTTCGCTGCCGGGTTTTTAAGCAGCCCAAGTGTCTGTGTGATTACATTGGACCGGATGCTGAGGTGTTGGAGGAAGAGGGATGAGTCCCCCAAAAAGATGGGTTACTCAGGCAGGGAAGTGGAGTCCCCTCCACTCCATGTATTTTTAATGGCCTGCTGACTTCTGAGTTTCCCACAGATTGGAGCCTATTGGATTTTCCCTTGGGGTTCTTTCTCCTCCATACCAGTGTATTTTGTTACTATACTTCTTATGTACAAAAGGAGTCACGTACTTTAAAACAGATAAGCTGTATAAAAGTGTAAAACCTCCCGCACCGTACCTCATTACGTTTCATTTAAGCAGACCAGAGATAAAGAGACAACAAAGCAGAGTCCTCTTTGTTTCGGGGGATGTGCCACCAAAGACAGTTCTGTTTTAACGTTCTCACCAAATTCTGGCCTCATTCTTCCCACGCTTTTCACTTCTTGGATGATACTCTGTTATTTATTGTGTTCTTTTCACATTCAGTTTTATCTTCTGTCAGATTCAGAGAAGCAGAGGGCTGTGTTCTGGGTTATCACTTGCCTTCTTCAACACACACACACACACACACACACACACACACACACACACAGTTAAGCACTAAGTACTCTAGAAAATGCCCAAATTTTAAAAAGTAAATGCCCAAATAGATGGACAAAACTTTATGGGCAGGAAAGAAACGTTAAGGTGAATGATCTTAAACTGGGCGTGGTGGTGCACGCCTGTAATCCCAGCACTTGGGAGGCTGAGGCAGAAGGATCGTTGTGAGTTTGACACCATCCTGGGCTACAAAATGAGCTCAAGGCCAGCCTGAACTGCATAACAAGCCAGCCTGAACTGCGTAGCGAGACCCTGTCTCAAAAAGACAAAAAAAAAAAAAAAATTTGGGACAGTCAGTGGCATCCCTTGTGAAGGAATTTGCTACCTTCATCTTCTGGTTGATGGTCCCTGCCTGTTCACAATATTTGTCCCTTATCTGAGATGACACCCTAATAGGCCTCCATATCTGTCTTTCTATAATGACCTGAGAGGCTCTGAAGCTTCTCTGGATTTGAAATTGGTTTTCCTCTAAATCTCAGAGTTGGAGTACAACTGCGACATTTCATGTTACTACTCAATTAATTAAATTTGACTGTACCGACTTGAGCTTTCTGATATGCCCAGCCTCTGTATCATGCCCAGGAGAAACCTTAATTGTTGCTCCTCCCCCAAGGAACTTTTCTCACTTGCAAAGCCAGTCCTGGAGCAAAGTGTGTGCGCCTGTTATGTGTGTTAATCCTTTCTAGTCTTTCTAAGCTGTGGTCCTGTCCTGTCCTTTTCTTCTGTAGACCTCTTCTCTTAAAGCTTATCTTAGGGAATGGTGTGTGCTTAGTGATAGAGCTTATGCTTAGCGTTCATTGGGCCCTGGACTCAGTCCCCACATCCAGAAGGATCTGGAATTGTTCCAGTTTAAGATGTGAATAACATAGTTCTTAAACTATGAATTATTCCAAGGACTCTTGCTTTTTTCTTTTTTAATTTTACATTTTAAGAAAGTGGCATTTTACATTTTAATGAGTGGAATTACCAGTATAGAATTTCAAACATAGACCAGGAGTTGCAAAAATACATTTGAAGAAGAGGGTTCTTCCATTGCCTTTTTTTTTTTTTTGGCTTGGTTTTTTTCTGGTACCAGGAATTGAACTCAGGACCTTGCGCTTGCCAGGCAAGCGCTGTGCCTTTGAGTTAAATCCCCAGCTCCCTTCCATTGCCTTTGAAGTCATAGCTTATATCTTTTCTTTCTCACTCACTCTCTCTCTCTCTTTTTGGCTTTTTGAGACAGGGACTTGCTTTGCAGTTCAGGCTGGCCTTCAACTCACTTTGTAACACAGTCTGGTCTTAAACTTGCAGCAGTCCTCCTGCCTCAGCCTCCCGAGTACTGGGCTTACAGGCGTGCGCCACCACTCCAAGCTATAGCTTATATCTTCTGTTACTTTGTCCAAGAACCAAGGATTGCTCTTCTCTACTTTGCTTGTTTATGTGCATTCATTGATATGAATTTGACTTCTGAGAAGGAGGCATAGGGTAATAGAAGCAAGTACCATAGCCCACTCCTTAATCCTAAAGCATTTCAGATTGGAAAATAACCAAAGCATAAGACAGTGAAATTAAAATAAGGAAATGCCCCAGCCCTGTCTTAGAGAAGGAATACCACAGGACACTACACACTGTACTCTTACTTCCTAAGAGTGCTTTAAAAAAGATTTAGCCAGTGATTAACAATAACTGAACTTAATAAAGAGCAACCCAGGTAAACAGTGTGTGTGGATCTCTGGGCCAGGCTGTAGTTTTGGTTTAGGAACAGTAAGTACCTTTTCAGAGTGTCTCCTGCCTCTATGGTGGTATGCTTTTTTTTCCCCCTCAAATTCAGGAATTAATACATAATGATTCAAAGCTTTTTAAGTACTTGACATAAACTGAAAATTCTGAAAACTTTGTTTTTAGCTCCAGTTGTCTCCATGTTAAGGTGGAAGGTCCACATACTAGGTATGATTAGGCCATCAGAGGCATAATAACGGGTGACAGGAAAAGCAGTTAGCCCATACGAGTTACAACAGTATTCTGTGGGCTGGGTCCCAAGGAGGCCTTCAAGAGAGACCACAAAGCCCAGCATGGTGGCACACGCCTGTAATCCCAGCACTCGGGAGGCTGAGGCAGGAGGGTCGTTGCAAGTTTGAGACCAGCCTGAGTGACAGAGTAAGCTCAAGGCCAGCCTGAACTGCAGAGTGAGACCCTGTCTCAATAAGACAAAAACAAACAGACAAACAAACAAAAAAGACAAAGACTCAAGGGGCCTAGGGAAAGAATTGGTTCTCTGAAGCCCATTACAAACATTCCCAAATGGATCTGAGTAAGGTCTGTCCAAATGGCACAGGAGACAAAGAGTTGACTAGAGGAGGGAAACAGGATTACTTCTGCGCTTGTGAATTTAGGGAGTGTTTAATGAGCACTTACTAGGGACCAGACATTGTGCCCTGCTCTGAAGATTATTTCTGATGACATCAAAAATAGTCCCACTTTTTGAGAAGTTTAAAGTTCTGCACAACACATGGACACAGTTAACTCATGTGATGTAAAGGCTGATAGAAATAGTCTTAGCCGGACGTGATGGCTTACAAGCCTGTAATCACAGCACTTTGGGAGGCGGAAGCAGGAGGATCACAAATTCGAGCCCATGGCAGTGACTTAGTGAGACCCTGCCTCAAAAAAAAAAAAAAAAAAAAAAAAGGAGGGCGTGGTGGTGCACACCTGTAATCCCAGCACTCGGGAGGCTGAGGCAGGAGGATCATTGCAAGTTCGAGACCAACCTGGGCTACGAAGTGAGCTCAAGACCATCCTGAACTGCACAGTGAGACCCTGTCTCAAAAAGACCAAAAAAAAAAAAAAGTATGTAACTCAGTGTGAAGGCCCAGGGTTCAGTCCCTAGTACTGCACACAAAAAGTCTAATCACTGAGAGCAATGACAGATTCTGCTGGGGTGATAGGGCAGTTTCATAGAGAAGGTGACATTTGTGCTTGGCCTTATGAGATACATTAGGATTTTGCTAGGCAAAGTAGGAAAGGGCATTCCAGTCTTACCTGTGTCAATAATAGGGAATGTGCACTACCACGCTGATAAGTGTGCTTTTTGCCTCTTGGAGAAGTTTGAGGGAGAGGGTGGGGGATGTACAAGGACTCACTTCAACCAATGACTCATTC